GCATGATGGGAAATGACCTGTCATCGGCCTGATAGGCCTCTGCAGTCAGCTAATCAGATACGGGCTTCAGGGAGAGGCAGTATTGCAGGAACAGAGCTTGGCTGCACTGATAGTCCATTTGTTGCCCTGTTTCCTCCTGAGTGGGTCCATAGTTTCGACCGACCAGACAAGACAAATATTTAGCCTCAGGAGGGAAATGTGTATTTCCTGTCACTGTGAGTACAGAACAATAAATCTCTCTCTCTCTCTCTCTGAGTGTGAATGGACTGAAGTTACTGCTTTGGGTTTCTCAGAATAGCAACAATTATCACACTTCCCTTTATTATGTGCTCGCTCTCATTGTCTTAAGAAATTTAGCAGCAAGCTTGAGTTCAAACCGGAAAGGCTTAACTAATAGTTTGTCTGAGCGAAGCATGCATCCCAGCACGAGATGGAAGAACGAAAGGTCATATTAAAATGGTGTGTTTGCTTATGAAGCATATCTCTATCATATGAGTCTTTGTCATTTGGGCATTTCGCAGTCGGACAAAAAGTACTTTCTGTTTAATTTCTTGTAAGCCGTCTAAAATATATATATGTATGTTGCAAACAGTGAAGCTCAATGGAATATATATTTGAAACAGAAAATATATTTAGTTTCAACCGTCATTGACCACAATGTATTTCAGTGGCAAGAAAATGCATTTCCAATCTTACAGTAGCCTACATTTAGACTTAATACAAGGTGGATGGCCTACTAGAGATCAAAACTAGATTTGTAACGATTTAATAATGTTTAATATTTTATATATTGTATATTGGAATATTGCATTTGTGGAGCATTTTAAATTGTTCCTTACTTAAGTTTATTCAAATGTGTTATATCTTCACATGTTATAAACAACAAATCAAGCTTTTCTTCAGATGTGATGTGTGAATGGATCTGATTTGTATAAAAACATACCAAAAAAAGGCCCAAAGTTATATTGGTAGAAAATATATTTAAGTAAATATATTTTAAAACACAATTTATCAAATATATTTTTTGTGTACTTTTGAAAATATCTACACGTGTATCTTTTAAAATGGCCAAAAATATATTGGTAGAAAATATATGCACTGTAACTGATTTTTGTAATTTGAACAGTATTATACTGTAATATGTACGGTAAGATACTGTAAAATGTGTATACAGTATTTTACTGTAAACCGCAAAGGATTATGGGAAAATATACGGTCACTACTGCATTTCCTCACTACTGTAAATCAATTTAACCTGCGATTGTTTGCTTCCCAAGCAATTTAACAGCTATTTGAGAGCAACACATAATCAATATCTCAAGAAATCAAGACGGGGCTTGTAAATAGAGCGAATCAGCCCTGAATAATAGCCTTTTCCATGAGAATCAGCACATTGATTGGAATACCAATACCTCTCAGCATTGGCATCTTATCTGAATTAATCCTGCCTTGATGTGGCCCGGCAATAAATGACAGGAATTAATGTTGTTTTGATGGGACTGAGTGGGGGTGGAAAGAGAGAGAAAGGGATGATTCTGACACATTGATAACTACACAATGTAACAGCCCATTAAGACCTGGACCCCGCCGTTTGGGCCTCTGTTTCATTTACAGAAGCTTGACACTTCACCAAAACAAATGCTATTCTTCCAATAACAAATAAAGCATAGCAATAATAACACCGAATGGGTTATGCAGGAAAATTGTGAAGAGTGAGTTCTCAGTATACGTCCTTTATCTGCTTACGTTCCCAATGAGAACAGATATGTTAGTCTGCTCGCATTATAAAAAAGCCCTCATAAAACCCTTATAAAACTCTCTTTACACTTTAAGACTCCGATAAATTCATCACCCAGCCGTAGAGCGAAGAATATATTGCCTTGAATTTCCATACATTTTGGTTGAAAATTTTATATTTCTTCTTTCATTGGTGTGTGTGAGGGAGAGGGAACTTTTTTATTCCATGATCCTAAAATGAAATAGCCCATTTGGGCTGGTGATGGATAGGACGCACGCGTGCACTGATGGAGATGTCATTAGAAGCAACAAAAGCACCCTGTCAGGTGGCATCACACGCTGACAAATGCCCCGTAATCTCTGGAGATTGCCAATATTACATTTGGCTCTTTACTCCAGTTTTCTCTAGGGCTTTCTCTCCGGTCTGCTTAGCTATATGTCAGACGTATGCATGCACATAATGGCGTTTGACTTACCTGCACATCAAGGTATAATGAAAAGATTTACATAAAAAGCACAAAATGAAGAAACCACATGATCGGGATGAACAGCATTTGCATGATCGCATTAACGGAGCACAGGTAGAAATCAGCCACCTCCTCTGAAAATGACACGGGTTGAGTGCGGCGGACACAGATCCACACAGACACCATCTCTCCATCAGTAATAGCCAGACAGTGTGTGTTGGCAGTAATTGTTTCATTGCAAAGTGCTTAACCTTCCATTAGCAGGGCAGCTGATCTGCACGGCAGGGCCATGGAACTTGATTTACAGAGTGGAGCAGAGAGATTTACCATCCACACACACAGAAGCTCCTCTATTGACCCAGAGAGAATGGAGCCAGCTGTTACTGTACCATTTCTCCTATATCAATCCATGCACTTAACGCCACAATGCCCCAATGTTTCTCAGATACACATGTGGCAATGGACGCCATCAGCAGGAAACCTTTGCACTATCATCCATTTTCAGTAGTCAGTGCTGGGCAGTAAGGGATTGCATGTAATCCGGATTATGTAATCAGATTCCAAAAATAAAGTACTTGTAATTCGATTATATTACATTTTAAAATACTCGTAATCAGATTACAGGTTTATGGATTATGTGATTACATATTATTCACACAAAGGCAGTAAATTATTCAGAATGTATTGATTCTCCCTAATTCTTATTTTTTCTCTTTTAATGTTTTTCTTACGGTTTAGCTTTGATTATATTTGCATGGTCATGTACATACATTTGAAATAAAATTGTCTATGCAAAGATCTAGACGTCTAGACAAAAAAAAACATGCAGGTAAACTAATAAAATGTTTCTATTCAAGTCATTTAATTTTGATTGTTTTGATTTTCAAATAATTTAGTAATTTTAAGTCTACATTTTTTTCACGAACCCCCTGCGGTTCTTTCATTAAGCCCAGTTTGTGAAAACCTGGTGTAATGTAATGTTTAATGCACTTCATGTTGTTGATAACAAAGAATGAAATATGTTTTCTTTCTCTTTATTTTAATATTAATAGTATACAATAATCCCATTCAAATGTATGCCATAAAAGAGTTAAGTAATCTAAAAGTAATCCAAAAGTAGTCCGATTAAATTCCTTAATGAGTACTTTAATAGATTACATTACTTACAGTATAATTTTCATAACGTATTTAGTAACCAGTAACTGACTACAATTTATAAGTAATCTTCCCAGCACTGTTGGTAGTGTATGTCCCCATACACCACTATTTTATTTCACACACACATTTTGGCTAGTGCACCAGATGTTTGAGCCATCACTATATTAGAATGGTGTGTATTGATTGTGTTGGAATAAGCATGCACTGATTTGTGAAAGCATGGAAAAGGCAGAGGTCTTAGTTAGATTTTAGTGGCCTCTGCTAGGGGTGGTGGAAGATCAAACACGGGGTGAATTTTTCATCGTTCTTATTCTGCAGACATTTATGACCAGTGAGATGTGAACAAGAAGCATCAGCATCTGCGGTGTTTTATGACATCTATAACATTCCAGCAGTTATTACCTGTTCAGATAGATGTGTGTGAAGGTGTGTGGGTGTGTTTGAAAGCTAGTGACTTTCTTGTGCAAGCAATGGAAGATGGTGTTTTTTTTTTTTTTTTTTGGTCAGTAAAGTCTTTATTTTTCTTTTTTGTGTGTCATAGTTAAACACTTTGGGATTTAAGGGCTTGTTCAAATCTGTAACCCTAAATTTGAGCAATATGAGTGATATAATTGCTGTGATAAGACATTTTTACACTGGTGTAACCTGTTCATTCATTCATCCATCCATTCATTAATTCCTTTATAAAGCACTTTACAACTACACATGCAGAACAAAGTGTTGTACAATAAACATACAGATACATAGAGTACAATAAAACATGAAAGAAAATAACCAAACAAGGATATCAACACTAGCCCAACTCTTTAAAGGCAAAATGAAAAGAGGTATTTTTTTATGCAAACTTTAAAAAAGCTAATAGATGTGACCATTCTAATTTCATGTGGCAGGTCTCGGACCTGCAGCAGCAAAAGTCTCGTCTCCTGTAAACTTAAAATGAGTCTATGTGATAGTGAGAAGCAGCTTATTAGTTGATCTTAAAGACCTAGATGTCACATATGGAGGAGTCATTCCATGCACTGCTTTAAAAACATACTGCAGGACTTTATGACCTTAACTAGGTCTTTGGTTAAAAGAACTGATTTTGATCGAGAAAGACACCTGATCTGGAAAAAACAACAACTCCATAGCACCAATATGCTTGTCAAATCTCAGTTCTGGGTCAAACACAGCCCCCAGATTACTTAATTAGTCTTGAAGATAAGCCGACCATGGACCTAAATAAGTAAAGGTATCCTCTGGCAGGGCCAAAAATTAGAATCTCTCTCTGTCCCTGGTTTAACTGAACCAGACTGAGGGCCTTCCATCTCTTCTAAGCATGCCAAAAGTGACTTACAAACACAATTCTCTCATGATCTCAAAGGGAGACAAAAATTTGTGTATCGTCAGTATAAAAATGGTAGGACATGCCATATTTTTTTTTAATCAAACCCAGCGGCAGCATATACAAAGAAAACAAAATAGGCCCAATGACAGAACCCTGAGGAACCCCACGGATAATAGGTTCTGATGGTGAAAAAAAGTCACCAAACTTCATTGAAAAAGATCTATTCTTAGGATAAGATGTGAACCATAAGTTAATGTTTTGATATGTACACATTTATGATGCAGTTGTTGTGTGGGTATTCATTGACACAGTGCTGTCTAAGAGACTAATATTGCAATGAAAGTCACGAGTATGTATCAAACCATGATGTCCCGTATAATGTCACTTCTGTCTCTAAAAAAAGCCAGTGTCCAGATGGGCCTCCAACATGCTCTCTACAAACAGCCAGATCACTTCATGCGCTCACTGACAAACATTCATGACGTAACGTCAGAATTCTGAATAATGCTTGGAAAACTTTTCAATATTTAATTTGCCAGAGTATTTTCTTTTATTCCTTCTGTCTCTCCCCTCCCCCTTCTCTCTCTCTCTCTCGGTTTCTCCAGCAGCAGGTGAGTGGGAGACGCCTTGGGGATATGGATGAGCCCAGTTCACACAAGCGTCTCATTAGCGAGCACTGAATTACACTCCAGACACGTCTTTATGTAGACTAATCATATTACAGCAACCAGGGGAGAGAGAGAGAGAGAACGAGCGAGGGAGAGGAAGAGAGAGGAATGACGGTGACGGGGCAGAGGTAGAGTGGGAGGGGGGGCTGCTTAACCTTTCTTGCAATCTGATTTGCCCGGTAGAACTCAATGTAATCGAGAAGCAACGTCGTGACATGGCTCTGTCTATCTCTCCATCTCTTTACACACGACTCCCTCCACTTCTCCTTCCTCTCCCACTGCGCAATTCCCGCATCCCTCGGGGACCCTTTCTGTCTCTCTCTCTGCATTGTGAATTCAGCCGGGCTGAATATAATCGCTGGTGTGGCACTCGCCTCTGACCACTGCGCACAGTCATTAACCTTGACTGCCATAATTGAATTCAAGGTTGATTGCATGTGACCCCTCCTTGGCTCGGGTCCTTAATGTACATATTCATTACAGGACACAGGCTCTAAACGAAAGGCACAGGGAAAGCTGTAACAATCTCATCGCGCGTGCCGGCTCTGGTCGGGGGAGGAGGGGGCGTTTGTGGCAGCAAGGGGGCACTAATTGCATGTTGGAGAGGAGGATTGGATTATGAAAAGAGTGCACCGATGAATACAGATCTTCGTGACACTGTCAAATTAAGGTCGTCCGTGTAGAGCGGCTGAACGTAGCAACAACACAAGAGGAGAGAGCTGTGTGTGTGACGGAGGAAAGATAGAGGTGAAAACAAACGGCGAGCTCCTGAGAGAGAGAGAAGGCATCTTTACTCAGACCAGTTTAGGCTGCTTGATGCGGCTCTGATCTGCCTTTAATGCATGTCTACAGTTGCAATTGTACGGTCGGTCACACTAGACCAGAGATGCCCAAACCAGGCCCTGAGGGCCAAAGCTGGCCCATGATGACATTTGATTTGGTCCACCATACTATATAAAAGCAAATAACCATTGAAGCATGCCTTCATTTCTTATTTATGTTATTGTTTTAAACTAAATGTAATTGACATTTTGTTTAATTATTTAAAAAATGTATGCATTTTAATATAATGTAGTTGGATATAATGCAACATTTACTTTTGGTCCACAGCCCTAAATCAACTTTGAGTTTTGTCCCCTCATGTTAAAAAGCTTGAGTAACTCTGCAGTCACTAGACTATTTCATGTCCATTTATGCTAATGCAGGAAACCAGAAATGCAAGCCTGTGTGAAGAATTTTTGCATTCTGTTGTGTGTGAAAGTTCATGGACTTAAAAAAATGTGTATAAGGCAGGGTCATTGTAGTTGTCTAAAATTAAAGCCATTCAAAAAAATACATATTCTTTACTTGAAATACAATACATTTGAACTGAAATGAAACAATGCGTTTTTCATTATAATTTAGTTTAACTTGATGTATTAAAATAACCAAAACTGAAATAAAAATTAATAAAAGCTTTTTCCATGTTCATTTTTGCTGGTGTTTTACTTGTATTTTGAATTTTGCACTTCATTGTGTTGTATTGTAGGGTTAATATAACTGTCCATAAAATGACTGGATAATATCCTGGCAGAAATGTGCCATTACACTTAAAAATATATATTTAAAGCATATTTATAAAACATTAAACAAAATTACTACAACTTTAAGTAAAATTTAACTTTAACTAATTAAAACGGAATTTATAAAAATAAAAACTAATTCAAAATATTAATAAAAACTATAATAGTACTTGAGAAAAGCACTGGTAATCTTCTGCCCAGACATTATCCAGCAATTTTATGGACATTTCCATTACTGCGTTAACCCTAAAACACAACGTAATTTCAAGTGCAAAATTTAAAATACAGGTATAAACACCTGTAAAAAAAATCATTTTACATCATTTTACAAAAATTATCAAGTCATTCCTTCATATTAATCCTGGCAGAAATGTGCCATTACACTTAAAAATATATATTTAAAGCATATTTATAAAACATTAAACAAAATTACTACAACTTTAAGTAAAATTTAACTTTAACTAATTAAAACGGAATTTATAAAAATAAAAACTAATTCAAAATATTAATAAAAACTATAATAGTACTTGAGAAAAGCACTGGTAATCTTCTGCCCAGACATTATCCAGCAATTTTATGGACATTTCCATTACTGCGTTAACCCTAAAACACAACGTAATTTCAAGTGCAAAATTTAAAATACAGGTATAAAAAATTATCAAGTCATTCCTTCATATTAATACAGTATACTGTGATTTTAGGTTCTTTGATTGGTCATTTTTTCAAGTTTTTGCCTTCACTAGATCAATTTAAGCATCATAACAAATGTTTAAAATGGGCAAAATGAAAGTCATATCATCATCAGCACATGAAAACTTTCCAAAAGTATTAATGAAATACAGGCTAAAATGCTGTCATTGCCATGATAGAGTACATATGTTATAATTTAATTATTTTTACATTTATAATTTCTTTAGTATGTAAATATATAGCAAAAGCAAGGCATAGAATGAAACATGGAGAGGGACTGAAACAAATGTCAAACGGGGAAGAAAAACATTCCTCTACACACACACACACACACACACACTCACATCTCGTCTCTCACACCTCCACTAAGTGTTCCTCAGTTGTGCCCTCGCTCCAGCATCTCTCTGACTCCACTAATGAAAAGAGGGAGGAGGGGCCGGCTGAAAGCGCTTAAAGAGAAGAACCTTTAACACAACACACCCCCACGTGTCTGTTCACCCGCCGCTGCCCCTGCGTCACTCCTCTAATGCCTGTCAAATTACCATCACCCAAACAAGACAATTAATTTGTCTCCAGCCTCCACGCTACATTCTGCAGGCAGTCACTTTCCTCTCTAGCTCTGTCACAGGACAGAGATTACATGTAAATAAAGTTTATGGGCTGGAGGACAGAAGACATCCAGTACAGGAGGAAACTGAAAAATATGACTTTACTGCATAAGAAGCCAACAAGATTGAGAGATTGCAGAGACAGCTAGTTTGATGTGTCGTATTCATAGTGTGATTCTACGCCGACAAACAAGGGTCAATGACAAAGTGTGTCCATTATAAAGAAAAAGACTTATCTTTTTCAAATCTAGTTTAAAACATGCTGTATTTTCCAAGTTCTTTGAAATGTCAGATACAACCCCAATTCCAGAGAAGTTGGGACATTTTGTAAAATGCAATAAAATCAAGAATCTGTGATTTGTTAATTCTCTTTAACTTTTATTTAATTGATAAAAGTACAAAGAAAAGATTTCCAACGTTTTCACTTTTTATCCACCAATATTTATAATGAAATCATCATATCTTTCAATCTTTCAGAATCTTTACGTTTTAAGCTTTTATTTAAATGAACAAATTTGAATGTCAGTTTTTGTTTTATATATATATTTTTTTATTAAATGTGAATTACATCAAAATTTCAATCATACACTCCATGAAGAGCACATTTTCCTCAAGGTCTTGCTATAGCTCAATTGTATCTGTTGTGTTAATGTTGGTTTCTTTTTTTCTGTCTGTTATGTGGTGCAACCATCAAATATAAAGTATTATTTATTTTCCTTACACCTTGAATACCTTAATAACATAAGATATTATTAGGTAATGACTATCATCTTGATTAAAGTCACTGTGAAATCAAAATTCTTGTTTTGTTTTGTTTTGGGTTTTTTAAATTGAATTCAATTGAATGTTTCAGTGTTTATTATAAATCATTTATCCTTGCACATCATAATGTTTAATCAAAAGCACTATCGTCCCTCCCCCGTTCTCTGATGACGTGTGGGATGATATTCCTCTCCTCCAGCAAACTGTCTCTCACACCAGATCGCAGCAATTAGCAAATGACAACCATTCAATCAATTCCCAGTAGACTAAATCAAATCCCGCCCTGCATTTCTTCTAGTTCCAGATGCGGTTTCACTCGGATATACACCACAATAGGGAAGAAAAGACCACTGCAATTTCTGTTTTATGTTGACTTTAATCAATATTGTTGGCCCTGTGAGGAACTGCATTCCTATTATGTTCCTCTTTTGTAAGTTGATTTGGATGAAAGTGTCTGCTAAATGCATATAGTTATTTATTTATTTGAGGTGATAAGCATTTTTTTTTTAAACAAGTAATAATAAAAGATTACAGAAACTACTACTAGTCTGCTTAATTGGAGTCGATGCAGAATGAACTGTTTGTGGCTCTCCGAACAACCCATTGTAGTGGTGTTTTGTGCTTTTTGAACAAATCGTTTGAGTGAATGATTCAACAACCTTCATAAGACAAATAAACACCACTAATGCATTAGTAGTAGGGGGTGGAACATAAAAACACAGACTCTTGGTTTTGCTTCAGGATGCAGATGTCTCATTTTTTGTGTTTCTACTCATCGTGATTGAAATACATTTGCTGCATTTGTGCTTTATGCATGTGTATCAAGACACCTTTTCTGTAATGTATTTGTACTATAAAAATGGATTTAGTTGTCCAGTCGGAAAACTTCATTTTATGTTGCAGTTTAATATTTTATGGTGTCAAGTCATGCAGGTTTATACCCTACTTACTGATCTCAGACCCAGACGTCCACTCGAGGTTAATAGCAGCACTTCTGGCCCATAGAGAGCGATCCAACTCTTGATTGAATTTTATTCTGTCGCAACGTTTGGCCGTATTCCCGGATAGAGCTGGGTGTGTTCGATGGTTTTCCCAAGCTGCGGAAACACGTGTGTGAAAGCTCTGCTATAGGATGTGGAGGTAGAAAAATAGAGGGTTTTCCAACACTTAATGTGTCTTAAATGCGTCCCCTGACTCTCTTACATCTGCTGGCCTCACTGGAAGTGTGAGCAGATGAACATCCAGAAAAGCCCAGCTGCTTGAACTCCAGCTGAATGTCTCGGAGTCTGATGTAATTGTGTGTTTGTGTTCATCCCTGTGAGTTTGTTGGTGTGGTTTTCACATATTGTGTCTTAAATGCGTCCCCTGACTCTCTTACATCTGCTGGCCTCACTGGAAGTGTGAGCAGATGAACATCCAGAAAAGCCTAGCTGCTTGAACTCCAGCTGAATGTCTCGGAGTCTGATGTAATTGTGTGTTTGTGTTCATCCGTGTGAGTTTGTTGGTGTGGTTTTCACATATGTAACCCTGGAGCACAGAAGCAGTGTTAAGTCGCTGGGGGATATTTGTAGCAATAGCCAACAATACATTGTATGGGTCACAATTATACATTTCTCTTTTATGCCAAAAATCATTAGGATATTAAGTAAAGATCATGTTCCATGAAGATATTTTGTACATTTCCTACCATAAATATATCAAAATTAAATTTGTGATTAATAATATGCATTGCTAAGAACTTCATTTGAACAACTTTAAAGATGATTTTCTCAATATTTCGATTTTTTTGCACCCTCAGATTCCAGATTTTCAAATAGTTGCATCTCAGCCAAATATTGTCCTATCCTAACAAACCATACATCAATGGAAAGATTATTTATTTAGTTTAAAACAAAAATGACCCTTATGACTGGTTTTGTGGTCCAGGGTCACATATATGTGTTCAGCTGTGTTGTGTATGATTGGGTGGTGTATGTACAATAAATGCAAGTAATACTAAGAGCTCCTAAGAAAACAAATATTTCTGGATTCAGACAGAAGTAGATCCTTCTTATAAACTATCATCACATATATTAAAGTATATACATACAGAAATGTAAAAGTCTTCTCGACAGCCCATCAAAATAAGATTTCAGTTTTATCTTGAAATTGTGAAAGAAATGTATTACTATTGTACAGTAGAATGTACTTTTCAAAGTAAAAATAATGATACAAATATTAAAACTTTATTTTTAAAAGAATAATCACACTATTTGTCATCCATGTTTTAATTTTTATAGTAAAGCTCTGCTGTACAGCACTTTGTTTGCCAAAAAAATAAAAGGAATTGTTACATTTTCATTTGATTACATTTTGAAATATTAAATTGTTATTGATTTGTGCCTTCATTTGTTTTATGCCATATTTGATACCACAGTTTTTTTAAATAATACATTTGTTTTAAATCATAAATCCAGAAAAGTTTGAGGCAACACAGAATTTCTGGAAGAAAAAAATAATAATAATGTTGCCATGTTATTGTAAACATTTTAATAAAATATGAAGTTGTTAAAGTTTTATAAATTCAGTTGATTGCACATGCTTTTAGATTTTATGAAATATTAAAATAGAATCCAGAAAAATGTGAAAACACTAAATATGACAATAAATAATCAAATAAAATATACAACCATTTCATTTTTTAAATATAAATTGTTGTTAAATTGAATACGTTTTATTATTTCAAATAATTAGACATACTTTTTTATTTTACCACTATCCAATTTAAGCATTAAAACAACGTCCAGAAAAATTAAAAGTAATCCAGAGAACCCAAGTCCCAATGGTATCTAAGAGCACAAATTATACTAAGCTGATATAATTATTATTTGGAAAATGTTCTCCACTGTAAGGGATCCCTGGCCTCAAAAGTTTGAGAACCCCTGTTATAGAGAACTCGTTATTTTCTTGATTTACACACTTAATGTAATTCTGTGAGCCAAAATCCTTTACTTAAATTCTCAAAACTCTTCACATTTGGTGCAATTTTCTCAACACCGTTTCTTACACTGTGTAACAGTACAGCACAGTAAGCCTAAAATACAGATTTACTGTATATTCAGAGCTGTCGATTCAATTTGACAGGATGTTTCAGGCTTCCATCATTTGTCCATGCGTGTTTATGTCAGGTAACATAGAAAAGAATACAAGATCTGGCTACTATGGTAGCAAATAATATTTGCATGCTCAGAAAACATAGGGAAGGATTTCTTATTAGCGCTGCCTCTTGGTGTAGCCAGTCAGGCACTTACCATAAAAATTAAAATATCACATTTCAAACAATACACCAAACTGGATTTTAAGATTTCCTGAAGGAAATCTGAGTACTTGCCTGTGCAAAACTCACCCCCACAGTTGGGTGTTTGCCAGGACTAACGGCAAGATGAAGTTAATGGTATGGATCATTTTTCATCTGCAACAGCAACTGGTGCCCCCTGACTTTACAACAGTTGAAATTAATTTTAAATACCAATGAATCATAAAATGTTTGCATATTTGTATTTTGTCAGGTGAAAACAATTAAAAGTGACAATTTAGTTCTGCGTATGAGGTTTGAACTCAATCTGCACGTTCCCCATTATACATCAGAGATTAAAAAAAGATTAATCAGAGATTTAATTTAACGTGCAATTTTATAAAACTATTTTAAAATATACATATTTTATTATATTTTAAGACATAACTTTATGTCTGTGGTGTTTTTATGTCAGCAATAGCTGCCACCCATATAATAAAAGGGGATTGATTTATTTATTTAGGAAATAATTTCTGTGTGTAAAGGTCCTTTCTAGATTATATACTGTATATATATATATATATATATATATATATATATATATATACATCTTTTGTTATCTTTAGTTGTCAATCAAGCAAGAGAGAATCGCTGTTAGAATGACGGTCTGTGTTTGTATTGAGGACGGTTAACTGTCCAGATATGAGCAGCACAGCTGTGTGATTAGGAAAACTATAAAATAAACAGACTTCACAAACTCAGTCTAAGGTAATACAGTCTTTTTCCTCTTGTTGAAAGTCGGATGTCCATTGTTATGAAGCGTTATTGTTGATGAGCTGCTATCTGTTGCAGAACAGCATCTTCTGTGGAGACACCAGCAGTTTGTGAAAGACAGATTGTGTATCAAGATGACAAAACAGGTATTAATTTGAACGGCTATAAAAACATTGAGACAGGTCTCAGAGACGTATTGTTTTGGAAAAGCAGAGACAATGAATCCAGAAGTGACACAGTCATCATTGTGCACAGTACCTCAGCAATAACAGACTATATATGTTTATACTGCTATATTGTACCACACACACACACGCACACAAGCTCAAAAGTTACTAAATAAAAACAAAATAAATATGCGAACAAACTGTGATAACCTCAGGTCACTTAAATCTTGTTATGACAATGATGCTTGTTGCGTATTGTTTGGAGACTTTGTGTGTGTGTGTGTGTGTGTGTAATAAATAATAAATAATAAATGTACACACACATATATTATGTACACAAAAACATTTATTTTGGATGCGATTAATCGTGATTAATCATTGCCCAGCACTAGTATTTATGTATTATAGCTTTAAATTCAGTTCTGTGTTGTCTCATAATATTAAAAAAGAGGTTACATAGTAAGAGATAAATATGTAAAAGAACAGAGTCCTGAGGAAATCACTTCATTGTATCATTGTAGAGATGCTCGCAAAGAAAAACAGGACCGGACAGACTAGACTTAACAACCACATTAAAATCATTCAGCTGTTTTTTGCACTGAGAGATGTTGTGGTGATATTTGATTAAATCTGATCTGTTGTAGTCATCAGCAGCTTATAGCTGTAGGAGTATCTAGTTAGATTTTCCATCATCAGAATTAGTCATCAATCATCTGTGCATCATGCTTTTAATAGGTATCATTACTTAAAATCAGAGCTTTATTTCTTACAGCTGTTCAGTGCTAAACTTCAGGAATGTTAATGTCTACTTTAAACTAATATCTCATTTAAGGTGGGAGAAGAAATGCTTGTGAAGTATCAGCTTTAAGCATCACTGGTTTCAGGTGGAAATTAGTTGAAGATAGTTGCAGTAATAAGTTCCCTCTACATAGGATATTTATAGACACTAGATGTTTTCTCTGGCAAATTATGGCTAATGCAATACAATTATATCATATCATGTAGAATGTATGCAATATGTATAACAATTTAAATTGTATGACTAAATCACACAAAACATATATAAGAGAGCACCATTTTCCCCTCCATGAGAAGTTCTTTTTTTCTCCTTTAAGGCAATTATTGAAGAAGCTTTCATCTCTAGGCATATATTTAAATGACACAAGCAGTCGTGGCATAAATTAATATGTATATCAGTGTGGGGGACAATCTAATAACTCACCTGTCAGGCTTTCCCCAGATGAGTGAAAGAAAACACTTATGAAATAACTATCACATTTTTTCCATCATGGCTGTGCTTTTCTAAAAAAAGAAATCGCAGGCAAAATATCCCACTGGTGAAATCACTTCTATGGTGAAACGAGCAACAAGAGTATTGGGTTAGATTTCTGTTTGGATTTAGTAAACGGTAAAAGCTATTATTAAACCCTTATAATAGCTCTTATGCATTTAATGGACAATCTAATGTTACGCTCTCGTCTGTTCCTGTCAGCGTTATGATGTGAAGATCGTGGCTAAATGTGAGCACTTCTCTGGTGGACTGATAAGGGCTTCTTCCAGAAATTAAAGGTGTAGTTCATCCAAAAGTGAAAACACTGTACATTTATTCACCCTCATGTCATTCTAACAGAAGAAGTAGTCACACAGGTTTGGAACAACATTTTTGGGTTCATGCAAACATATATTTGGCATATGCTTTCATAAGACATCCTTTAAGTACACTTTAACATGCTTTTAAAAGAATATATTATATGCTAATTTAATGTTTTTTTCTGTAATATTTCATGCTGTTGAAAAAGTTCTATTTAAGTGTTGATTGATCATTTTCATTTCTGAAACAATGAGATTTGAGACAAAAACAGATGAAATCAGGATGGGACAAAAAAATGTTCCACAGTATTGTATACTGTTTTGATTATGATTATATAATCTGTCTGTCTAGATTTGTCTATCCTTCTACTAAAAAGATACGGCTGCTTTAGTGTAGTTAGATACTTTATGTGAGTAGTTTGACTACTTTAAACTGCGAGTATCTTCCTAACATGAGGCATACATTGAGGCATTCAAAATGAACGTCAGCCCTGTATGTGTGGGACTATGAATGTGTTTGGCTGAGGGTTATATTGTTGTGTCTTTTTGTGATAGACTATTATACAGTATGTGTGGGAGTGTGAAACCTGGAAAATATTGCACAGAATGCAATCTTTACAGTCTTGCATACAGTGGCAGTTCAAGCTTGCATGGCACCCTGGGCATTAAAAAAATTTGACTTTTTTTTTTTTTAGATATTTGAAACAACACAAATAAATAACCATAACATTTAAAGGGATGTAAATATAAATATAATTTATGTACACAAAAATACAGTGTCAAACAGAAGCAACGAAGACAAATATAAACAAATCGTAGAATATGTAAACACACACACACACACAAATAATTGATTTATTACACAGGCGGTGCGGTGGTTCAGTGAGGAGCACTATTGCCTCACAGCAATAGGTTCTTGGTTCGAGTCCCAGCTAAACCAGGAGGCCTTTCTGAGTGGAGTTTGCATGTTCTTCAATGTGTTGCTGTGGATTTCCCCCACTATCCAAACATACAGTACATGCAGCATAGGTGAACATCTTGGTTACATACGTAACCCTCGTTCCCTGATGGAGGGAACAGAGTCGTTATGTCGTGACAACATAGGGGGTTCACTTGGGAGCTCCAATCATCACTGACTTTAAGAGAAAACGCCAATGAAATTTTGCTAGTGGATTTTGCATGCCTGAGCCACTCCCCATGCATACGGGTATAAATAGGCAACAGGTGCATCCACTCTTCAGGTTTTATGCGGAGGAGCCGAGAACTTGTCCCTGGCAACCAGCAAAGGTTCAAGGTTGTGGCATAGGGACATAACATCTCCGTTCCCTCCATCAGGTAACGAGTGTTACGTACATAACCGAGACATTCCCTATCTGTCGGTCACTACAAGTTATATCATGACGACATAGGGGGTCCATGAAAAGCACCACAACCTGAACCCCGTCACAACCCTGTAGTGCTGCAAATGTTGATAAGCAGCCGCATGTCAGACAAATGCTACTCAAAGGTCGTAACCTTCCCAACGCCCCAGCACAAATTAGCTGACCTTGGCGCCCACAGGGACCAAAAGGTGAGTACATCGCTGCTGGAGATAGCCAAGCCGCTGTTGCTAGAACAGACATTTCAGACATTCATATGGAGTGGGTCTCTGGGGCAGGTCCTACCTTGGAGTAGGGAGGAACACCGCCAGCAGAGACTGACAGAGTGGTCTGTCAAAGGGAAGACACGGGTTCACCAAGAGGAAAACCTTACCGTGGAAGAATACACATATGGGATCGCCCGCAGGGAATCTAGCCATGCGGACACCTAGCCCAGTAAAGGGGCTGACCGGAAACACGGAAAAGCTAACACCAATACTGGGCCTTGCGTCAGACTGCTCCACCCAGTCTGACAGCCGGGGGCGCTGGAGGATACTCAACCAAGGATCACCGACCCGGGAACTTACTGGAGGAGGAAAAGGCGCTCGCATCCCCGGGTGAGGGGGAATGGTGCAGCAAGTGTGACACCGGCCGGCTCTTCCCGCCACTTACCTGTTACCCAACACACAGGGAAGAAACCGGCTCAATGCGGAGATGGTCCAACGCCCCAGCACAAATTAGCTGACCTTGGCGCCCACAGGGACCAAAAGGTGAGTACATCGCTGCTGGAGATAGCCAAGCCGCTGTTGCTAGAACAGACATTTCAGACATTCATATGGAGTGGGTCTCTGGGGCAGGTCCTACCTTGGAGTAGGGAGGAACACCGCCAGCAGAGACTGACAGAGTGGTCTGTCAAAGGGAAGACACGGGTTCACCAAGAGGAAAACCTTACCGTGGAAGAATACACATATGGGATCGCCCGCAGGGAATCTAGCCATGCGGACACCTAGCCCAGTAAAGGGGCTGACCGGAAACACGGAAAAGCTAACACCAATACTGGGCCTTGCGTCAGACTGCTCCACCCAGTCTGACAGCCGGGGGCGCTGGAGGATACTCAACCAAGGATCACCGACCCGGGAACTTACTGGAGGAGGAAAAGGCGCTCGCATCCCCGGGTGAGGGGGAATGGTGCAGCAAGTGTGACACCGGCCGGCTCTTCCCGCCACTTACCTGTTACCCAACACACAGGGAAGAAACCGGCTCAATGCGGAGATGGTAAAATCTTGCGAAGGTGTTCGGTGTCGCCCAGCCCGCAGATCTACAGATGTCTGCCAGAGAGGCGCTGTGTGCCAGTGTATAGGAGGAGGCAACACACCATGTGGAGTGAGCCCTCACCCCTAGGGAGCACGGCTCGCCTTGGGATTGGTAGGCCAAGGCGATGGCATCCACTATCCAGTGGGCCAACCACTGCTTGGAGACAGCCTTCCCTTTCTGCTGACCTCCTCAGCAGACAAGAGCTGATCAGAGCTTCTGAAGACCCTGATGCCCACTTCCCATTACGGGGCAAGGGCGCCCTACGCAACCTTCGTAAAGACACGGGGGACAGGGACAGCCCGAAGAGGAGGACCCTGTACTGCCATGCCCGAACCTCGAGCGCAAACCATAAAAACAGTCTGTGTTGAGGAAGAATCGAGAAATGAAAGTAAGCTTCCTTCAGGTCGACCGCTGGAAACCAATCCTGCGGCTGGATGCATCTGATGATGCTCTTCTGCGTCAACATCTTGAACGGAAGCTTGTGAAGGGCCCGATTCAAGAATCGCAGATCCAGGATTAGCTGAAGGCCACCGCCTTTCTTGGGCACGATGAAGTAAGGGCTGTAAAACCCTGACTTCATCTCGGCTGGAGGGACAGGCTCGATTGCATCCTTCGCCAGTAGGACAGCAATCTCGTTGCGCAGGACAGGGGCGTTTCGGGCTGCCACCAAAGTCTCGAGAATGCTGCTGAACCTGGGAGGTCGCCTGGTGAACTGAATCACGTAGCCGAGATGAACTGTCCAAATGAGCCAGCAGGACGGGTTGGGCAGCGCAAGCCACACCTCCAAGCTCCATACGAGTGGCACCAAAGGGACAATCGACGCACACGCGGTGGGGCAGCGGTGGGAAGTCGTGCTGTATGGCACAGAAGGCATCGCGCCCTGACTTATCACAGCAGGACTTCCCGTGTCCCCGGAGGAACTGGCCAGAGATGCATGGAAAGGCAACGCGTCCCGAGCCGCCATCTCTTGGGCGCTGGCGCTGGCGATAGGGGGTGTCGTGGGCGAGAGTGAGGAGGCAGCGCATCACTCACTGTCAGCCCATGTGCCTGATAACCCGGAGGAAAAGGAAACTGCTCCTTTTTCGAGAATGTGGGTAGCGCTGGCTGTTGGACCAGCGGCAGAACAGAAAAAACACAGGATTCTCCACCAGGCCCTCCTCTGGGGGAAGGAGTGGTGCTGTCCTCGCCATCTCCTGAGAAAGAGCAGCTTCTCACATCTCCGATTTGCCCATGTCAGGGCCGCTTTGTCGTCTTTCTAGAGGCCTAAGGGGTTGGCTGGGACATGGGGGGCGCTGCGGTCCTGTGAGAGGCTCGACACGCCGGCCTTGACGCTGTCTCAGCATAGGGCGGAGGTGCTCTGGAGGACACAGGGGGGTGCCCGCGGCGACGAGCAGACTGAGGCGGGGCCCGTGACGGAACGGTGGCAGATGGAGGATCACGTCGGGGCAGGATGTGCTGGATCGCCTCAGTCTGTTTCTGTACTGCCGCGAACTGCTGGGCAATGTCCTCGACAGTGTCGCCGAACAGGCCAACGTCTTTCATCTCTGCAAGGTTGAGCCAGAGATGGCGCTCTTGGGCCACTAATGTGGACATCACCTTTCCGAGGGACCACGCTGTGACTTTCGTTGCCCTAAGGGTGAAATCAGTTGCCGAGCGCAACTCCTGCATCAACCCCGGGTTGGCAGCGGTGGGAAGTCGTGCTGTATGGCACAGAAGGCATCGCGCCCTGACTTATCACAGCAGGACTTCCCGTGTCCCCGGAGGAACTGGCCAGAGATGCGTGGAAAGGCAACGCGTCCCCGAGCCGCCATCTCTTGGGCGCTGGCGCTGGCGATAGGGGGTGTCGTGGGCGAGAGTGAGGAGGCAGCGCATCACTCACTGTCAGCCCATGTGCCTGATAACCCAGAGGAAAAGGAAACTGCTCCTTTTTCGAGAATGTGGGTAGCGCTGGCTGTTGGACCAGCGGCAGAACAGAAAAAACACAGGATTCTCCACCAGGCCCTCCTCTGGGGGAAGGAGTGGTGCTGTCCTCGCCATCTCCTGAGAAAGAGCAGCTTCTCACATCTCCGATTTGCCCATGTCAGGGCCGCTTCTGTCCTCGCCATCTCCTGAGAAAGAGCAGCTTCTCACATCTCCGAGTTGCCCATGTCAGGGCCGCTTTGTCGTCTTTCTAGAGGCCTAAGGGGTTGGCTGGGACATGGGGGGCGCTGCGGTCCTGTGAGAGGCTCGACACGCCGGCCTTGACGCTGTCTCAGCATAGGGCGGAGGTGCTCTGGAGGACACAGGGGGGGTGCCCTCGGCGACGAGCAGACTGAGGCGGGGCCCGTGACGGAACGGTGGCAGATGGAGGATCACGTCGGGGCAG